ATCTTGTCACATTGAGGTGTGTGCTCGATGGTCATGTAGAGGTTCCGCATCTGGCTGATGCTGAGAAGGATCGGTACAGTTCCTTGTTCAAGGACGTCGATGTTGGTACTGCACGGAGGAGTTGTGTGATATCGAAGATGCAGGGTCCAATTTACCCTGGCGGTCTCTCCGTTTGCAAAAGTGAACTTGGTCTCGGCCGGGATGTACTCGTAGGAGATGATGTCCTTCATTGGTTCGATTGCTTGGGTAAAACGTTGGATTGCATGCCAGCTGCCCATAGATCTGGTACATCCGTTGTCCAGAATCGCATAGGTCGGGTTGTGCTGAGGGTTGATGACAGGCGCCATCAGCTTTGTTGCCAAAAGGCTGTGATTTGTTGCGACGGACAGATTGTGTTCTGAAACTGTATCTGATTGGATCAGCTTCTTGTGGATGGCCTTTTTCCCAGGATACTCATATGCATCATGGAATGCCATTAACGCTTGTCCTGTGCTGGATATCTCATGGGATGAGTACCAGCCATGTTCGTTCCATGTCCATAATTGATCCCAATCTTGGTCTGTCCAACCGGCATAGGTAGGCTCTATGGATGGTGCAGTCTGCTGGATGGCGGGCTGCTCCTCCGTCTTTTCTGCGGTGGCTGCGAACGTCTTGGATTTTCCTTTCTCCTGTCCGCTCTTTCCTTTGCCACTCTCATAGGATGGATAACCTTTGTTTCCATCATAGGGATATTGGAATTTTGATTTCCTTTCTTTCCCTTCTTTCCTTTGCCTTTTCCCCAATATGCCTGGTCGTAGGGATCATAGTTTTCGTTGGCCATATTGGCCTTTCCGCCAGAACCGCTTTTTCTGAAGGGTTTGAAGCCACCTCGTTGGGGACTGCCCTTCTTGTTTCCTGATTTTCCTTTTCCTTTTCTCTTCTTGAACTTGAAGTTCCGCCCCGACACTTTTCTTGCTATGAACGCATCGTTCTGCTCGAGGACCCAGAACGTCTCTTCATCCTTGTTTGACATGAATCCTTCAAGTCCTTCTTCATCCTCAACCCAGAAGCCTTCTTCTCCTTCATATTCACCTTGTTCGATGATGAAGAATGTGTTGCTTCGGCTGCCTCCTTGAGGTCGGATGGATGGATCTTGGATCGATGTCCTCGTGGTGATGAAGAGTTCATGGTAGTGTGTCTTCAGCATCTCACAGGAATAATTCGAGTGAGATGTTTCTCAATGACATTGCACTTGTGAGTCGTTCTCTTTGTTGATCTGACAACTCACTTTGAATGATGAAAAACTGTGCAATGAGATTATCCCCGAAGGGAAATGCGTCCCGCTGTCTGTCCTGCATTTGCGTCCTGTACGGACTGTCGAAATGATGGAGACTGTGCCGTAAAGATTGGCATCAAGTCCATCCATGCTGCCTTCAATCTCATGAGAAGGATTTTGAATTTTGAGGTAAAAATGAGGAACTCTTGGTTCTGCCTTCTGTAATTGAAGAAACTGAGGAGTCTGTACAGATACACGTTGGTCGCACCTTTCAAAAAGTACTTCTTCAGCGTGTTCTTGAAATAGTTGACTCCTTCATCAGGATCTTGCAAAAGGTCATTTTGGAGGACGGCCTTGTACATGTAAGAATCTCCAGTGAGTCTGCTCTTAAGCAATGGACCTCGCTTGGCTGCTTCTACTGTGGTGATGGTCACCCAGTCGTCCACGAGTTCTTCATACCTGAACCAGCTGACTTTTCCGTCGTACGATGGCGGCTGCTTGTGGTCATCGATAAATTTAGTGTTTCCTCCGTATAGCTCGGCTTTGCCGAACTTATACAGGCTTCCATGAAGCCTTCTCCATCTGATGACATCTTCCCTTGGATCTCTGCGGAAAACCCGCTCCGCTACCACGAATTGAGGCCCACTGCCCCAGGTGCCTATCCTTGAAGGGAACTGGAACCTTGTGGTAGTTGAGGTCGTTGTTGGTTCCTGGATCTATTCCGGAGGATGGATTGTCCCTGGTGGATTGTCTTGTGGATAATCCTGTAAGCGGCCTGCACTGGCTCTTTTGTGGATGGTCGTGATTATGCAAAAGGGGCCCTTGAGCCAAATGTTGCGGGAGATCACAATGGTCTGAAAAACAGAGCACAGGGGGGGAGGTCCACATACCACGCGGTGATGCCAAGACGTTCCACGAAACCCTTTCTTTTGCGTAAAAACATTGGGGTGTTCGATTCCCCCCGCCCCGGGTATTGGAAAGTAGGTTATTTCTACTTTCCAAGACCCGGGGGGTCGATCCCCCCTCGGGGCTGGAAGGCGGGATTTTTTTCCCCACCTACCATAGGACCCTCCCCCCGGCAAATTTCCTGGCCTCTTTGGCTCCCCCCGGCTAATTCCAGGGTGGGCGTTTTGGTTGGTATAATCAACCAAAATCGTGTCGAAGGGTCAGAGACGGCCTATTTTCCGGATCTGACCCGAGGGACCCCCAAAAATGAAAATCACGAATTTTCCTTTTTGGGGGTGAAAGGCAGAAGATCTGGAAAAAAAAGGCCTTAGGGGGGAAAGGGGAGAAATGATCTCAACACAAAAAGGGGTGGAAAAGATCTTGGGAGGAAAGGGAGAAGATCTGGGTGAAAAAAGGCCAACAGGGAAAGGGGGGAAAAGATCTTAGGAAGGAAAAGGGAGAAGCTCTCAGGGGGGGAAAGGCCTTAGGGGGAAAGGGGGGAAAGGATCTGAACAGGGAAAGGGGGGGAAAGATCTTAGGGAGGAAAGGGGGGGAAAGATCTTAGGGAGGAAAGGAAGGGAAAAGGACTTAGGGGGGAAAGAGGGGAAGGGATCTCAACCGGAAAAGAGGGGAAGGATCTTAGGGAGGAAAAGGGGGAAAGGCCTTAGGGGGGAAAGGGGAAAGGATCTCAACAAGGGAAGGTGGGAGAAGATCTTAGGGAGGAAAAGCGAGAAGATCTCAGGGGGGGGAAAAGGCCCTAAGATCTCAGGGGGGGAAAGGCCTTAGGGGGGAAAGGGGGGAAAGGATCTCAACAGGAAAAGGGAGAAGATCTCGGGGGAAAGGAAAGGATCTCAACTGGGGGAAAAGATCTTGGGGAGGAAAAGGGGAAGATCTCACAGGGGGGGAAAAGGCCTTAGGGGGGAAAGGGGGGAAAGGAAAGGGGGGAAAGGATCTCAACAGGGAAAGGTGGCAAAAGATCTTAGGGAGGAAAAGGGAGAAGAAGAAGATCTCAGGGGGGGAAAGGCCTTAGGGGGAAAGGGGGGAAAGGATCTGAACAGGGCACAGAGGAAAGGCAGAAGATCTGGGGAAAAAAGCTTTGGGGAAAGGGGAGAAATTATCTCAACAGGGAAGGGGGTGGAAAAGATCTTAGGGAGGAAAGGGAGAAGATCTGGGGCAAAAATGCCAAGGGGGAAAAGATCTTAGGAACGGGGAAAAGATCTGGGAAAGGATCTCAACAGAGAAAGGGGGGGGGGAAGATCTCAGGCAAAAAGGGAGAAGATCTGTGGAAAAAATGCCTTAGGGGGGAAAGGGGGGAAAAGATCTTTGGGAGGAAAAGGGAAATCTTTCTCGGGAAGGATATCAACAGGGAGAGGGGGGAAAACATCTTAGGGAGGAGAAGGGAAAAATCTCAGAGGGAGAAAGGGCCTGAGGGGGGAAAGGGGGAATGGATCTCAACAGGGAAAGGGGGGCAAAAATCTTAGAGGGGAAGCGGGGCGAGGGGACAATTCCAAAGGGACGCAAACAAGAGAGCAGGCCTGTAACGTCGGCGGCCTGAGCCGGAGGCGTTAAAATTTTATCTTCTCCAATGGTAATGCGGTGTGTCTACAAGCTTCGCCGATAGAGAGCCTCATAAGGAGACAGACAATGGAAAATGCAAACATGACAAAAGACAATGGCGTTGACAATCATAACAGAAAGGAAGGACAAACCGTAAGCCATTAAAATCTACATGTGTGGCTCCTCCTAATTATGATTTCGCTATCTCATTATCGTAAACATGTAATGAAGGCTTTGTTACTAACCTCGGTTGGACTTCCAAAATAGGCACGGCGCCTGCCCTGACCACCTGTGGTTCCTGCGTTTGGGAACCATGCGTGGGTGGGCTTGAGGAGTGTTGCTTGCTGAGATTTGAAAGAGGCGGGTCTTGCCTGTGGGCTGATATCTTGGATGCTGTTGGGAAGGTTTAAGGTTGACTTTGGCTTTGGTTGGCTTGCGGCTAATTTGCGCAGGCGTGCGGCGTTGGGCACGGTTGGGGTGGTTTTAGTTGGGTGTGGTGATTTAGCAGGGGCTTTAGGCTTGCTTTAAGGATGCGGCTGCGCGAGTTGTGGGCTAGGTTTGGCGGTCCCCACAACCAATTTCAATCCAGCTCCAAACTTGCGTCGCATCCCGAAAGCAACCCTAAAGCCACTGCTAAACCAGCCGCACAACCAGCCAAAGCCGACCCAAAGTCAATCTTAAACCCTTCCAACAGCATCCAGGATCTCAGCCCTTTGCCGGGCCTAGATGAACCAGACCCGCCTCTTTCAAATCGCACTCACCCCAAACCAGCCCCGAGCACCTCTCAACTAGCACCAAATCACCGCCTTGACACCAAGTGACTGATGCGGCCGCCCAACCAACCAACCAACCAACCAACCAACCAACCAAACAACCAACCAACCAACCAACCAACCAACCAACCAACCAACCAACCAACCAACCAACCAACCAACCAACCAACCAACCAACCAACCAACCAAGCAACCCACCAACCCACCAACCCACCAACCCACCAACCCACCAACCCACCAACCCACCAACCCACCAACCCACCAACCACCAACCCACCAACCCACCAACCCACCAACCAACCCACCAACCCAGCAACCCACCAACCCACCAACCCGCCAACCCACCAACCCGCCAACCCGCCAGCCCACCAACCCACCAACCCGCCATCCCACCAACCCGCCAACCGCCAACCCGCCAACCCGCCAACCAACCAACCAATCAGCCAACCAACATGCCCTCCAATCAGCTCCTCCAAGGTGCAGATGTGGCACCTGTCGCACTGGTCGCCCCTCCGGCACCCATCCTCCTTTCGCCGGAAGAAGAGGCAGGGCAGGCACCTTCCGCAAAATCGATGCACGAGCTCAGTTTCACACGGACGTGGACCCTTTGGAGGCCTGGAAGACTGTCTACAATTGGATAAGGTCCGTTTCCATGACCGTCTTTCACAGTCCAAAGACACAAACTAGAGCAAACAAAGACAATAAGCCAGGCACGCTGAAGGCAAAAAATGTAACGCAGACATCTGATTGACAAGGAAAAGCAAGCAGGCAAGCAAGGAAGCAAGCAAGAAGGCTTCCCTTCCCTCACGCTCACTCCCTCCCTCTCCCTCCCTCACATCCCAGGCCCTCACGTGCCATGCCACACAAGCAAACAAGTCCCTGCGCATGACTCGCCTTCCGTTGCGGTGCAAGGCCAGCACCAGCGGCTCATCCCAAGGTTTGTCCCAAGACTCCAAGGCGGGGCTCGAGCTGGTGCGCCGCAGCTGAGCACCGGGCAAATGCCTCGACAATTAAGAGCGCTCCATTCTTAAACACACCAGTGTCTGAGGCAGAGCTCAAACATGAACGGCGCTTCTCCTTGGCAAAGACTTGAAGACAGCAGTGGCAAAGCATTAGAGGGCGTGGGGTGGATATGTTTTGATGGCCACCCCTGAATCGCCAGCACTTGCCCGTTTGGCGGCAGCCCCATAAAAGCAGGCTGCGTTCGGGGATTTGGGCGGGGGGGGGGGGAATTTTAACGTTCGTCGCTCTAGCAGCAACATGGCACCAAATACTTTGAAACCAGCTCCAATTACCGCGAAGTCAACTTTTGACTGTTTCGGAAAATCGAACAAATCGCTGTTTCAAGATAGTGTGATTCCGCATCAACGAAACACAACTGCTTGTCATGTTGGGCCACCCGTGTCCTTCGTTTTGCTTCTTCAACGCAGCCCCCCGAAAATGCACATTTAAAAACCGTGAATTGGCTACATATTTTACATTGGTGCTTGCAAAATGTGGAAAACAACTGATGACAGCGCTGGCGCTTGAGGTCAGAATCTCTAGTAGGACATCCCAGCTCAAGCCCCACCTGGTGCTTGCGTCGGACACTACAGTCAGCCTTGGAAGACTGCGCAACTGAAATTGCACCAGAGATTCCTTTGAACGAAAATGGGAACGCTCCCCACTATCACGGACAGGCAAGCACTGCACAGTTGAAACACATGCACACGCGCACGCATTCACAAGACTAGAAGCGCGCAGGTGGGTGGGTGGGCGGGTGGGCTGGGGGTGGGTGTGGGTGTGTGTGTGTGTGGGTGTGTGGGTGCGTGCGTGCGTGCGTGCCTTGACTTAGCTAGTCTCCCTCCCATGCCCTTTGCTAGCACATGTCTCCAGATATATATGCTCCTCATCACACGGTCACAGGTAGCGATGAACCACAATGTAGCAAAAGAAAATTTGGGAAATGAGCTTGCCTCCTGTTGCCGGCCAACAAAAGCACCTCACCTAATCCAGCTGCGCTGTGTGTCTTCGAGCTCAAGGAGCGAGTGTTGCCCCGTAGGGTATACCGCTGACGTGTTTTGTTGCACCCCAAGCTCCTCCTCAGCATTGCCTGCATCACCTGCACGCAGGCCGGCCCAAACACTTGGACCCCAAAACATCCCGGCCTTCCTGGCCTTGCGACGGGCTTCTGATGCCACGTTGCCCGACCTTCAAAACCACTGTAAATACCGTGCAAATCGCCCCGGACAGTCGCCAGCATCCTCGCCAACATCCTCTGCATCTTCGCAAACTTCGCCAGCATCCCCAGCATCTGGGCGTTCCAGCATCGCTTACATCCCCTGCATCCCCTGCATCGCTCAAACCCTTCAAAAATGGCCCCCTGAGAGTAGGTTTTGGCGGTAGGCGGACATGGCGGGCAAGTCTGCGATCGAGTGAGCGGCTTTTCTTGCGCAAGTGCGGCCGCCGCCGCTGTGCGGAAAACATCGCGCAAACCGTGTTTTTCTTCATTTTCACCGGTTTCTGTGGGGCTGGGACGGGCTGCCGGGGATGCATTTTTTGGTCTGATTGGCTTTTGGTGTGAGACCCGTGCGGCGCGCGCGCTCGCCGGACGCAAGCGCTGGACGCAAGCAGGTACGCATGCGCTCAAGCTAGGGTGGGTGATTGCATGCTCAGTGTCAGGGGGGTTGGGCAAGCAACCTTGCAGCCTCGTGGGTTCGCAGCGAGCGCGTGCCAGGGTGACCGACCAGCGCAGCTGGTGATGGCGAAGCCCTAGGATAGCAGAGCTTCCAGCATACCAGAAACCACCTTTGTCGAGGGGTCCACTGCAGGCGAACGGGGTAAAACACCCCCAAACTTTCAGCTGTTGGGCTCCCTTGCCGAGGTGCGTGGCATCTGCCCCGACGCCAACTGGCAAAATCTCAACGTTTAGGCAGGCGTTGCGGACGGTGAGAGCGAAGCGCTCGCCGTCGATCTGGCAGGGCGGGGGGAGAGGGAACGAGTGCCAGCAAAACCTCTCTTGCCCTGGCGTTCCAAAGAATATACGTGTTCATCTCTTGGTCCCGTCAACCCAATTGAAAGTGAAGGTGTGTGACACAACCTACGCCAACCGCGAGCTAGTCAGGCCACCGCCACGCGCGTGCAGACAGATCTTCACGCCGGGAAAAGGGCAAGACAGCGTGACCGTTCCTGCAGCAATCCCTCACTGCAGTACTAGGCTCAAAGACATGCAACTTAGGGGTGCGGATTTATTTTGGGAATTGTGTTCGGATTGGTTTTTTTTTTGCCCCGTCCGGGCCAGTAAAATGTCGTATTTTACAGCATTTCTCGCGAAATTGATGCATTTTACACTAGCCCGTCAACATCCCCCGCATGTCCGACCAACATCCCAACAAATCGTGGGTATCAAATGCGGGGGAATCTTGCCAGCTCAACGTTGTTCTTGCAGATGAGGAGGGAAATGTCTTTATGGCTTTGCAGAGACACCACCCAAAGCCGCGCTTGTGGCTTGTTTGCCTTGAAGCGCCAGGCATACGATGAACGAAGTGGGTCACACGCGCAGCACTTCTTGAGCAGGCGAGTGAAAGAAACGGACTAACAGCTCAGCCACAAACATCTGGCGTATGCGTGCAGGCCTTCATGTCCCTCCTAGTATCGGAAACTAATTCCACCCACCAAACAAATCTCATCACGCGGCTGGTTGTGAAACCACCATAAGCCCTGTTGATTGAAGAGAACTCACCCAGAAAGGGTGAGTCTATTTACCTTTAGAAACACGCATCGATTTGCCGAGCCTGAAATGTTGCCTGAATGCTGACGGTCATGATATCGACTCGGCGAATACGGCGAATGGCCCTTTCGAATGCACGCAATGCCTGATACTAGAGCCAAAAAACGGCTCGCGAGCAGCAACTCAGCAATCAGCAACCGCGATGCGGTTGACCCAAGTTACATCATGAGTCTCGTTCGCTTGACGTTGTATGTTCAGCAAAGCTCGCAAAACAAACAACTGTGCTCCCGGGTTTCACCCAGGCCCTTGCTACGGGTCATAAAGAAAAAGATTGCGTGGAAATCCAGAATACTCTAAGAGAAACGGATCGTGTTTCACCCCAGTTTGGTCTCGCAATGAAACTCCCTTCGTTTCCAAGCTCCTTGTTCTATCCAAGCGTTTTATTGGAAGGCTCATCGTTCTAGTCTTTCAACGTTGGTGTTTTGAAAGGGAGGCTTGGCCAATCCTGATTCGACAACTGCCAAAAATGTCAAATCCGTGGGCTTCCAATAATTCAAAAACCCTTCCGATATTTCAGCAACTCGATATCCGCGCTCACCAAGCCAAAACACAGGCTTGCTGGATTGGTCTTTAAAGCTGGGCGGCTCAATCCCGATTGGACTAAAACTACGAACAGGGGCCAAACTCCGCGACCCCAAAACAAAATATGGAATAGCTTGCCTCAGAGCCCGAGCAATGGCTTTTGCTTTGGAGGCCTTCGCGGTCTGAGTCCAAAGCCTCTCTCTCGCTCGGCATCCGTGAGAGCCCGGAACGGCCTCCACCTTTCCGGTCTCGAAATGACTCGCAAAAGCTCTGCTAGTGGCTTGATTTTCCGAATAGATTGATGGAACTGCAAAAGCACGGCTTGAGTGCCTGTGCCCAATAAGAACAACCATTGCAAAGTCGAACAAAGCAGTAGCTCACCACTAAAACTAAAGCCGATAAAGGTAGTAGACCGTTTCCGCTTGAAAAAGACTTGTCCTAGCTTCTTCCAATTTAGGAGGGAGGGGGATGAGTGTAAGAGAAAGATCAGGAATCCAAATGATAAGTGATAGGGATAGAAGTTTGTACGAATGATGATAATCATGCTTTGCGTGGAACAATCGGGGGGGCGTGGACCATGTCGAGTTCTGGAAGACCAAACACATCTTCTTGAAAAGGCCGACGAATGCATCCACTTCCATGTCGGGAAAAGGGCAAGAGAAGTAATGGTAAGTGCCACGAACGACAGCTCTAGGCAAAAGAAAACAAGAATCTAGACGTAAACTCATATAAGTGGTACAAGCCATAGCCTCCCCCAAACCCACACCTTGTGTTGTCAAAGAAAGCTTCGAGCGCCAAACCCGGTTCTTTTTGCTTCCGGCCAACCCCTCAGCTCTTGGATGACCTCGTCTTTCAACTCCAGGGCCTGCCGGCAGAAACAAACCCCGATTCGCTGAAGAACCAGGACGTGTGGGTTGTGTGTTATTTGTGCGTCTAGGGCGCCTCTTTTTGACACATACCCGCAAAAGGAGGTTGTTCAAACGTTGCGAAACAACCAACTCCAGATCCCTTTGGAAGGGAAACCCAAGGGGAATGCTTTGTTGATATGACCAACGGTCTCAGTTTGAGTTTTGTACGGAAACACCACCAACCCTTGATGCCAAAAGCAAAAGAAGCTAGTTGTTCATGTCGGTGGTCTCGCCCCATGTTCTCTTCTAAGTAGGCAATAGGTTTCTGGGGCTGGCTGCGCCCCGATGTCCCACACAAATCCGCTCCAAGAAGCTGCGCGGGAACCAAGCATTCCTAACCCCTGGCACAACTTTCCTACAAGCTGACATGTAACAAAAGCCTCTCAAAACTTGGGCAACGGGGTCTCATCCATGAGAGCTTGCCGAAATCCCTCCCACCTCCTCCGGCTCCCCAGGCACTGGAAGCCTCTGGGCAAGTTAAACAAGCAATGAAGCCTGAAGTCTCATCACAAACATACATGTTTATATGTCTGCATTGATTATATACATATATATATATACATATCATCATGTGTATATATATATATATATACATATATATATATACACACGCACTAGGGTGAGTCCGGCCTGCAGCAGCCGGATGCAGGCAGTACGCTTGGAACAAAGCGACAAAACATATAATGTGTGTCTATGTATGGAACTCTTAACATCTTACTCGATATTGTTCAATTTCTTTGAGACTCCAAAGCGATTCAGGTGGACTTAAGCCTTCTTAGAATCAAACCGGAGAAACTTACACAAATGCGCGTAACCATGAAACCGGTGGTTTGAACAAAAGAATAAAATGGTCGACACCGCAGCATTACCACCGTTTTAATCAAGAAAACGCTTTCGCCTGCATCAAAGTTCTTAGCAAAAAAACTTTCGGAATTGCACGTTTCAAGCTCGACTTGACGCATCGTGCTTTTGATGGTCTTTGTAAACTAAACTGCTCCACACCTCCAGCATCGCCGTCAACCAATCAACATGCATGTCCGCTTCAGTCCAGAAAGATGTTCCCCGCTGATCAAAAGTAGATCGCACTGCACATTGGCTAGATTGGTCGACACCCCAGCATCACCGGCATTAAAATAAAGCAGGTCGTTTGGCGGCGTCAAGGATTCTTGTGAAACAAATTGCAAGAAGTTGTCCCACCGTGCTTTTGACAGCCTTTGTAGACGGAATTGGTCAACAACTGCAGCCTTTTGACAAAGTAGATGTCACCCTGGGTCCGTAGCCGTAGACAAAATTCAACACCTGCAGCATCACCACTCTTTTGGCAAGAAATTGTTTTCGAATTTAAAGCGCACTGGCGCTTGAAGCTACTCGAAAAAGGTTGGACCTTTTGTTCCGGTTAGAACATGAGCAACGGCAGTAATTTCCTACATGGTTGAATGATCATATCCTCCCACTGGTTCTCCAACCCTGCGCTCATTTGGACTCATTGACCTCGTTTGCCAATGTGTGTGTGTTGTGTATGTTTGTGTGTGTTTGTGTGTGTTTGTGTGTGTTTGTGTGGCTTGTGTCTGTGTGTGCTTGTGAGGGTGTGTTTGTGCTTGTTTGTTCGTGTGTTTGGGTGTGTGTTGGTGTGTGTGTGTGGGCGGGCGGGCGGGCGGGCGGGCGTGCGGGCGGGTGCGCGCGTGCGTGCGTGCGTGCGCGCGTGCGTGCGTGCGTGCGTGCGTGCGTGGGTGGGTGGGTGAGTGAGTGTGTGTGTGTGTGGGTTTGCGCGCGTGTGTTTGTGTGAGTGCGTCTTTGTGTGTGTGTCTGTGTTTTTGTGTGTGTGTGTGTGTGTTTTTTTGTGCGTGTGTGTGTGTGTTGGTGTTGTGTGTGTGCGCGGGTGGGTTGCCAGTCTGTGTGTGTGTGTCTGTGTGTTGCCTGCGTGTGTGTGTGTGTGTGTGCGTGTGTTTGTGGGTTGCTGTGCTGCGCGTGTGTTGCCTGCGTGGTTGTTGCCTGTGTGTAAGTGCTTGGTTGTGTGTATGTGTGTGTGTGCTTTTGTTTGTGTGTTGGCTTGTGTCTGGGTGTCTGTGTGTGTGTGTGCGCGTGTGCGTGTGCGTGGGCGTGGGCGTGGGTGTGGGTGTGGGTGTGGGTGCGCGTGTGTGCGCGTGTGCGTCTGTGTGTGTGTGTCTGTGTGTCTGTGTGTCTGTGTGTGTGTGTAAATGTGTGAGTGTGTGAGTGTGTGAATGTGTGAACGTGTGAATGTGTGAATGTGTGAATGTGTGAATATGTGAGTGAGTGTGTGTGTGTGTGTGCATGTGCGTGTGCGTGTGCGTGTGCGTGTGCGTGTGCGTGTGCGTGTGCGTGTGCGTGTGCGTGTGCGTGTGGGTGTGCGTGTGCGTGTGTGTGTGTGTGCGTGTGCGTGTGCGTGTGCGTGTGCGTGTGCGTGTGCGTGTGCGTGTGCGTGTGCGTGTGCGTGTGCGTGTGCGTGTGCGTGTGCGTGTGCGTGTGCGTGTGCGTGTGCGTGTTCGAGGGCGTGCGCGTGCGGGTGTGTGCGCGTGTGTGCGCGTGTGCGCGCGTGTGTGCGTGCGTGCGTGTGTGCGTGCGTGCGTGCGTGCGTGCGTGCGTGCGTGCGTGCCTGCGTGCGTGCCTGCCTGCACGCCTGCCTGCGTGCCTGCGTGCCTGCGTGCCTGCGTGCCTGCGCGCCTGCGTGCCTGAGTGCCTGCGTGCCTGCGTGCCTGCGTGCCTGCGTGCCTGCGTGCCTGCGCGCCTGCGTGCCTGCGTGCCTGCGCGCCTGCGTGCCTGCGTGCCTGCGTGCCTGCGTGCCTGCGCGCCTGCGCGCCTGCGTGCCTGCGTGCCTGCGTGCCTGGGTGCCTGGGTGCCTGGGTGCCTGGGTGCTTGGGTGCCTGCGTGTCTGCGTGTCTGCGTGTCTGCGTGTCTGCGTGTCTGCGTGTCTGCGTGTCTGGGTGTCTGGGTGTCTGGGTGTCTGGGTGTCTGGGTGTCTGGGTGTCTGGGTGTCTGGGTGTCTGGGTGTCTGTGTGTCTGTGTGTCTGGGTGTCTGTCTGTGGTGTCTGTGTCTGTCTGTGTGTGTCTGTGTCTGTGTCTGTGTGTGTCTGTGTCTGTGTCTGTGTCTGTGTGTGTCTGTGTGTCTGTGTGCCTGTGTGTGTCTGTGTGTGTCTCTGTGTGTCTCTGTGTGTCTCTGTGTGTCTCTGTGTGTCTCTGTGTGTCTCTGTGTGTGTCTGTGTGTGTCTGTGTGTGTCTGTGTGTGTCTGTGTGTGTCTGTGTGTGTCTGGGGTGTGTCTCTGTGTGTGTCTGTGTGTGTCTCTGTGTGTGTCTGTGTGTGTCTGTGTGTGTCTGTGTGTGTCTGTGTGTGTCTGTGTGTGTCTGTGTGTGTCTGTGTGTGTCTGTGTGTGTCTCTGTGTGTGTCTCTGTGTGTCTCTGTGTGTCTCTGTGTGTCTCTGTGTGTCTCTGTGTGTCTCTGTGTGTCTCTGTGTGTCTGTGTGTGTCTGTGTGTGTCTGTGTGTGTCTGTGTGTGTCTGTGTGTGTGTCTGTGTGTGTGTGTGTCTGTGTGTGTCTGTGTGTGTCTGTGTGTGTCTGTGTGTGTCTGTGTGTGTCTGTGTGTGTCTGTGTGTGTCTGTGGTGTGTCTGTGTGTGTGTGTGTCTGTGTGTGTCTGTGTGTGTCTGTGTGTGTGTCTCTGTGTGTC